CAGGATGGAGTTAATTCTTGCCTTTTCTAAGCTTCTGACTCCTCAGTAGGGAAATAGGAATGAAACACCTTCCTCTCAGGGTTATCGGGGAGTGGGGGGTGCACAATGAGATAACACAGGGAATGCTTTCAGCGCCATGCCTGGCACAAGTGACATTGGAACCAACACCAGTCACTGTGATCACTCCTAACCGAGACTGGTGGAAGGTGGAATTGGAGATGGACCGTGCAGCCTGTTTCATTGGCAAAAAATGAAAAATAAAAAAATAAAGCACTTGGGCTGCCGGATGACCTGGCAGGGCACACGTCTGATGAACAGATTTTTCCAGGGATGACTCTGAAATGGCAAAGACGTTTAAGAGAGCTTCAAAGGTCGGCCGCGGTCTCTCGGAGCCCACACAGCCTGTTGACCTCCGGACGGGGGCCCCTGGCGTGATGGAAAGAGCGAGGACTAGGGCGTCTGCATCCTTGGCCGCGCCGTTCACTTTGGCCTCCTCCCTTGAAAACGAAGATGGGAACATCTACCTCCTTAAGAAGGTGAAGAGAAACTCCCACAGGAGGAAGGGTGGGAACCCGAACTGCCAGGGACTGGGCTCCGTACAGGCAGTTCAAGGTCACTGTTATTTATTGAAGCCTCACAACAACCCGGAAAAGAACGCATCATTATCTCATTTCATCAGGGAGGAAAGAAAGGCCCGGCTGGGAGAAGGCACAGGCCCAAGGTTACATAACTGTTGTGGGTAGGCGCCAGGATTTGACATTGAGGCTGAGAACAGATTCCAGCCCTTCAACCACCCCTCCCCGAGCCTCCCACTCAGCTCCCCGCCCTGGACACTCCGGCCGGGACGTGGTTTTTTAGGTCTATGCTAATCCCTGTAATTTCAAGAATCCCTACCACAGCGACACGAAGGAAGGGGCGGCAGAGACCTGGCTAATCTCCCTCCCGAGTGTTGCTCCCAACTCTCCAACAAGTTCGTTCCTTCCAGTGTCTGCAGTGAACCCAAGTCAAACCACCAGGCTCCCTGAAGACCCAAGAGATACTTCTTTGGTATCTAGAAGTGAACTCCTGGGAGGAGATCCATGTCACTTCATCTCTTCAGAAAATTAATTCATGGAAGGACTCCTGTCAGCAGTCTCCAGAACTGCATATGCAGAGAACTTAACGAGTTTACTTTCCTAAGAGCTGTCTCATTGCTTGCATTCTTTAAAGCTGAACCTCTGTCTCAAGACCCCAGGGTTAACCTAAGTCCAAAAGTCCCACAGTACCTGATCCACCTCACAGCTGCTAAGCTTTATAGCTGTTGTCAGACTGCTCAAACACAAGCTGAGCCAAATGTCCTCCCAGCCAGCACAGCCCTGCTCCTGAGAGGCATGTGTTATGGTTTCCATCACGCCTGGCCATAAAGTCCCACTTGAGCTTGTCAACCCAGGGAGCCGAGGGACGGCCCGTACCTACCTGGGTGACCCCTGCCTCCTCCCTTGGGACGGGGCTTCTCAGCAGAATGGCCACAGTCACTGGCTGCGATGAGTCACAAGTTCCCCAAATCTCCTGACACCAGTCGGGGAGCAGAGGGAAACGGACAGCAAACAGGCCCAGCGGGGGCTGTCTAGCCGTGACCTAAGAGCCCAGCATATTTCTTCACGAACGTTCATGCCCGAATCCGCCCAGCTTTGAGGGAAGAGTATGTGTGTGGGGGTGGGGGGAGACTGCTCCGGAGACAGAGTGAGAGGAACAGGGCCAAGCCCCAGACATCCCCAGGGGACCTTCAAGATAGTCAACGTACCCACAGAACCTCCCCAACACCCCTGGACTCCATGAGTCTGTCAGGCCAGCGAGCTGGTTCCCAGAACGTGAAACAGTCTGTGAGCAGGAAGGGTCTATGTCACAATGGCGTTTCTCCTGGTGCCAAGAGAGCGTCACGGAGCAAACAGGAGCCCAGGACAGAGACCCGGGGTCAGATCTGCTTCCCCAGGGACCCAGGGCTCACAGAACAGACGCTCCTAGGGACGGGAATCCCTGTCCACCTCTCCGTACACACTGGGACTCCCGTCATTCCCCCACTGAGGCCTCCACCTCCACAGGGGCTTTGAAATCCACCATCTATTCCCTCACACCTTAAGTTATTGTCAAAGCGATGGAGACAAGCTCAAAATGCCCCTAACCTCTTCAGCAGGTCAAGCCCCCCATGCTCAACCAGAGAGTGTTCTCAGTGACCTCAGCATGGCTTCTGGCTCCCCACCCACCACCGTCTGCCATGGGGGCCTGGCCTCCAGCCAGAACAGCCCACTCACCCTTGTCCTGCCCTCTCCTGCCCCTGCATTTTGACCCAGACCTTTTAAAAGGCCATCCACCTTAAAAACCTCACCTGCCCAGCCCATACCTGCATGTCAAAATTCCCCCAGCCTTTAAAACCCAGCCAAATGCTTCTGGCCCAAGAAGGCACCCCTGATTCCCCATCCATGTCCTCCACGTAGGTCCACGCCTCCCACCTGGGGGAAGGTAATTCCATCCCTCCACCCCGGGGAGGGGGTGTGGGTGGCGGGGGGGATGAACTGTCTCTCTTTATTTACCATTCATCAGTGGACCTTTCTACAGTAATTATTATATGATATTCCATCAGTCATTTCTATTTCCCTCATTCCTTCTGCATTAATTCATTAGGATTTTTCTGTAATGAAGAGTTGTCCCTGGGAGTTCCCTGGCAGGCCAGTGGTTAAGACTCCCACTTTCACTGAAAAGTATGTGTGTTCAACTCCCGATCAGGAAACTAAGATTCCACAAGCACAGCCAAAAAAAAAGAGTAGTTGTCCCTCCTCCTTACATGTTTATTTCTTTATTTTAGTCATTTATACTTATCAGTATTAACTTAGGCATGCTTATTTTACATAAAAGCTAATATTAGATGTAATCATATTATATATTACAATATAGGATATAGGAGTACATTAAATTCTTTATATGTGCGTGCTAAGTCACTTCAGTCATGCCCAAGTCTTTGCCACCCTATAGCTCTTCTGTCCATGGGGATTCTCCAGGCAAGAATACTGGATTGGGTTGCCATGCACTCCTTCAGAGAATCTTCCAAACCCAGGGATCAAACATTGTTCCTGCATTGCTGGCAGATTCCTTACCACTGAGCCACCTGGGAAGCCCCTGTGTTCAATTATATTCAGTATAAATTTATGTAGGGAATTCCCTGGTGGTCCAGTGGCTAGGATTTTGCACTTCCACTGCCAAGGGCATGGGTTCCATACCTGGTCAGGGTATTAAGCACGTAAGCACTCACAAGCCACAAAGTGTGGCCAAAACAAATTTTTAAATAAAAACAAATTATATATAATGTTTTACCTATAAATTATATTAAATTATGCAAATTAAATATAAATACTATCATGATTTATTTTGTTGCTCAAACTGTTCTAGCTTTAACCATGGGGAACTCATTTGGATTGCTATAATTTGTTTTACTAGATTATAAGTTTTTTCAAGATAAGAATTAAATCTTAGTTGTCTTTTTGTTTCCACAGCCCAAAACACAACACCATGAATATAGTTGGTTCTCAATAATAATACTTAATATTTATATACATTTTAGGATTTTACTGTTTTCAGATCAATTATCTTAATTTTTACGTGGTTAGAAGAATGTATACATGAATAAAGACCAAAGTAATTCATGAACGATTTCTGTGTATATCCAAAAAAGTTACCTAAACTGAACTCACTTAGAAACTCAACTTTTATCTGTCTTTCCCTATTTGCACCTAGAGCTGATATTAGGCAATATACTTGGTTATTTTAGCTGTGTCCAGCTGTGTCCACTTCTGATGCAGACCAATTCTGTATATGGCTCTTTTGAGTAGATCTTAGGTTGTTTTTGCTGGCATGTTTGTGCTCAAGTCAAGCTGAATTTCCTCTGCCTCCCTGCTCATCTGAATGATGGTGGTCTACTATGGCATACAGAACACTGAGATAGCTGTCTGAAATGAACAGCATCCTCAGCCATCACTCACTCTTAATACTGTTCTTGATCGTTGGGCAAAAGCTTCTGGAGTATTATAGCCAGCAGTGAACATCTGGTCTCATTTGGCAGGATGGCAATTCAGATCCACGTGGACAGGCTAACATGGAACATACTAGTTGCTATCTTCTTGCTACACTGGCTTGTAACAGGCTGCATCATGGTTGAGTGAAGTGGCTTCAGATGAAAATCCATGTTTCCTAGTTATCAAAAGCAACAAGTCCAGACAAGAACAAGGTGGCGTTCTCAGTCTCACTGACCCTATCAGAGGGACAGTCATGAAACACTAGTGATTCTTTTATTCAGGAAGAGCCAGGGGGCCATTTGCTCAGCCTGCTCACTCTAATCTTCATTCCCCCTGGCCTCACCTCCACCATTCCATTCCAACGGAAATGAATCACAGTTGATCAAGACTCCAAAAAGTAGGAACTAACTATCACTGATCATGAAACATACAAGAACTCTTCTATTTCACATTACAAGGACTAGTCATTTCCTTGTGCTCTTAAAGCTATATACTTTTAAAACTTTTAAAGCTATTGCTATACACCCACAATCTTGTTTTCTGTTGGCATCTGAAAATTTGCCAAACTGATCCAGTTCTGCATCTTGATGTTGAACCATTTAAGTGTTTTTATTTCCTAGTATTTCCTGAATGTTTTTTATATATTATTGTTATTAACATCTAGTTAACATTATCATGGACAGAAACATATATTTTGTATTATTATTATTTCAAGACTTTGAAATTTACTGAGAATTGTTTTATGAACAAGTAATGGGTGACTACCAAGTAAAAGTAGGATGCCCCCAGGATGTACATCTAAACCAAGACACTTCTGAAAGGGAAAGAGGATGCTATTAATAATGACAACAGGGTGACTAGCATAATTTGAGGCTACCCTGGAGGAACTGGGATGTATCCTCATTGTATGTAAAACAGAATCTCTCCCTTAAAGCAATGGAGACTGGTAAACCCTTACTGAAGGTATCTGCATCTTTGGGAAAGCCAACAGCAATCCTCAGTGAAGTTTGCAGGGAAGACAGATTGTCTCATAATGGAGTTAAATGGGCCAAAGGGATAAAAACTGCTGGGTATGTGGAAGATATTTTTGTGGAAGGGACTCAAAGGTAAGGAAACAGAAGGAGGAACAAGCAGTTGAATACACAAAAAATAATCTCGCTCCTCAAAACAAGAAAGAGAATGCAAACCTCTCTGCCTGGGAACCAGCTGAATGGTGCATCCCAGGACTGCCATGTAGCATAAACTCATTAGTCTTTCAAATCTTAAACACATTCGTCTTTCAAGTCAAACCCAGTTTTAAGTATTCTGTTTAATAATTTCCTTCAAACATCTAGTCACTTAGATCATTTCCTCTTAAAAGACATGAAGCCATAAAGAAGGGAAAGTGGGGGTCCTCACCAGGGAAGGTGTTTTCTCTGGGGGTGTTTTTCTATATTTATTTGGAAGCAATTATAGACTTCACCACCTATCCAAGCTGTCTCCAGTTGGTTTCTAGTAGGAAACACCTCTTTGGCAACAAGTCATGATCCAGTATTATTTTTTCCCATTCTACCAAGAAGGAAATGGAGCCTTTGTGAGGGGCAAATGATGTGTTTAAATTTCTGGCTTGAATCAGTAAGCAACCAGAGTTAAGATTACTCATGCTGTAAGCCACAGCCCTTCTCTTTCAACTTTAATGGGAATAGTCAACATCTTATTATGTGAGTGTTTGTCCCAAGTTCATATTTCTTTCACACAGAGAAAGGCATTTAATTATATAAATCTTTTCAAACCTATAAAATTAAAGGAGCAGGAAAGTCTTTCACATGTCCATAACAGAGAGAGTGGCCTGGAAGAAACCCTCAGAAGATCAGAGATCATGAGATAAATCTATTATCTTATGGTAGAAGCCATGAGGATCTATGAGTAATAATTTCCAGCTCAGAATATCTGATGAGTGAAATACATTGAGTGCTTAAGTTAGAACCTTCCCCCCAAATGCTCAGCATAGAATGATTATTATTGCTGTTGTTGTAACTATTTAATAAGCAATGACTTCAGCCTAAGGCTGTGGGGAAACTTAAATCCAGTGATGCAAGCAGATTAATAACTCTAGAAACATTGGCATTCCCAGAACTACTCAAGATAATGTCCATGGGACATCCAAAGAGTTGTTTTAAATATACCCTAGCATATGTAAGGTAGATAGCTAATGGGGATCTGCTATATAACTCAGACTCAAACCACGACTCTGTAACAACCTAGGGGGTGGGATGGGGTGGGAGGTGGGAGGGAGGTTCAAAACAGAGGGGACATGTGTATGCCTTTGGCTGGTTTGTGTTGATATATGGCAGAGGCCAACACAATATTGTAAAGCAATTATCTTTCGGTTAAAAATAAACTTTAAAAAACCAAATAAACAAAAAGAGTTGTTTCAGGAAAGTCTCTTCATTGAAGGTTTCAGCTGTTGAGTTTAGAAGAGACAATGAAATATCATTTTATGACCCTAATGAAATAATAACAATTGTCAATGGCTGCTAACATTATACAAAAGAGAGAAAGTCAAATGCCATATACTTCCAACCCTATATATTCACAGAATACTATGAAATATTCTTCACAAAATTTGAACCTAACTATGATCACGCCTCTAGACCTAAGTATTAGTTTTCAGGATAAGTAGGGGATGAGAAATATAATAAACAGCCCCATGAAGATATAATCTACAAAATCCAAACCATGGGACACTCTACAAGACAAATAACCCAGTTTCTTCAACAGAATGCAAAAAACAGGGCAGGTGGATTGGGAGGTGGGAGATACATAGCTTAAGAGAGCTTCTCAGAAACATCAAAAATAGTGATATGTGAATGCTATTTGCATTCAGTTTACATATTAAAATCTGTAAGGAAAAAATATTTGAGAACATACCTGAGAAAATTTGAACATTGTGCTGAGTGGATATTTAATAATACTAAGAACTTCTTAATTCTTTATGTGTGATAATGGTATTGTGGCTATATATTTGTTATTGTTTTAGTTCTTGATTACATATATAAACAATAAAGTGATTAGAAGAAAACATAAGAGAATACAGAAATAGGTAAAGATTTCTTGGTGAACACACAGAAAGCACAAACCATAAAAGAAAAAGTGAATATAAACTGAACTTAAAACTACTACCCATCAAAAGACACTATAAAAAAATAGGTAGCAGGGGTGGAAGGTGGGAGGCGGGAGGCGGGAGGGAGGTTCAAGAGGGCGGGGACGTATATACCTATGGCTAGTTCATGTTGATGTATGGCTGAGACAAACAAAATATAGTTAAGCAATTATCTGCCAACTAAAAACATATACCAATTTAAATTAAAAATGTTTTAAAAAGAAAAAAGTAATTAGTCGATTGGGAGAAAGTATGTATAACACCTATATCTGAAAAGATAGAAAGAAAGAACAAATAACGCCTATATCCTTTTTAAAAATAAGGTATCTTTAAACAGACATGCGCAAAGCAAGGTTATGTATGATTGGTTGAAACACCTATGCCTTATATCCACAATATATAAAGACCTCCTACAACTCAATAATAAAAAGACAAACAATTCAATTTAAAAAATGGGTAAAATATCTGAATAGACACTTTTCAAAAGAAGACATACAAAAATGATCAATAAGCACATGAAAAAGGTTTCACCATCATTAATCATCAGGGAAATGCAAATTAAAATCATAAGGAGATACCACCAAACATCCTAGAACAGCTAAAATTAAAAAGATGAAAAATGCTAAATTCAGGAGAGAATGTGAAACAATCAGAGCTCTTCACACATTGCTGGTGAGAATGCAAAATGGTGACAGTCACTCTGGAAAACCATTTGGCATTTTTTTATAAATGAAAATACAGAATCTGAGAGAGAACATATATAGTCACTTTGCTAACTCAATATTGTAAATCAACCATACTGAAATTTTAAAAGGATAAAACTACAATAAAAGAGGAAAATAAATCTATGACCCTGCAATTGCACTCCTAGATATTAATTGCAATGAAAATATATGTACACAAAAAAACCTTCTATAAGAATGTTTATAACAGCTTTGTTACAGAAAACAGTCTAGATGTCCATTAACAGAAGAATGGATCTGTACAGTGGGACACTCCTCAAAATCAGAAGGGTTCAAGTCACGGAAGTAAGCAACAGCCTGCATGAATCTCAGTGTAACACACCGAGTGAAGGAAGCCAGCAGCAGAAAAGTAACGTGTAAGGGCCCGTTTATAAGAAATTCTAGAATAGGCCTGGTGGCTCAGACAGTAAAGAATCTGCTTGCAATGCAAGAGACCGGTGTTTGATCCCTGGGTCAGAAAGATTTCCTGGAGAAGGAAATGGCAACCCACTCCAGTGTTCTTACTTGGATAATTCCATGGACAGAGAGGAGCCTGGCAAACTACAGTCCATGGGGGTCACAAAGAGTAGGACATGACTGAACACTTTCACTTCCACTAGAATAGGCAAAAAATAACCAGTAAACAATAGAAATCAGATCAATGGTTGCTCCTCCATGCAGGGAACTGACTGAGAGGGACAAAATGGGATGGGATGATAAAAAAAAACATGCTACTCCTTGATTTGCAGCTGTCCAACTAGCTAATTACACAAGTTCTGAGGACCAGAATGCATGTAAACTATGCGGCAATAAAAATATTTTAAAATGTAAAAGGATTCTAATCTATATAACTATATAGATATATATTTTAATATATATGAAATTATATGATATATGGGGTTTTCTTCAAAATAATCCAGAGTCAAGGGTGAGTATACATGAAACAAGTCTGACCATGAGTTGATAACTATTCAACCTGTGTGATGAGTATGTAGAAGTATGTATGATACTTTTTATTCTCCCTACTTCTGTTTATGCTTGGAATTTTCCATGATAAAGAGTGAGTAAGAGAAAAAGAAGTGATGGGGATGAGGGAGAGAGAGGTGGAGGCAGGAAGAAGGAAAAATGGATCCAACCACAAGATCCACTCCATAGCACTGAGGATGAAACTGAAGGACTCTATGGGGCTCCTGGGCCTGGAAGCCTTTCTGTTCCCCATTTCTTATTTGTCGGGAATAGACTCCAGCCTCCATGACCCTTCCTGAGTTCCAAAGGGCGGATTCAAACAGTTGCTGATCAGGGAGCAGAGGGGATGCAGAGACAAGGGAGAAGAAACCAAGAAAAAATGATGCTGCCTTGGAGCAGGGTCCTGGTTCCACCTCAAGGGAAAAACATGATATCGCTGGCTCTTCTACAGAACTAGAACCCACTCCAGTACTAGAGGTCACCTCCTCCCCTCCACACACACACATACAACAAATGGAAGATATTAACATTCTTCTTTCCAGAGAAGATCAGTTTGACAACCTCAAGAAATTCATCAGGGGACCACCTGAGGCCAGATTATAGAAACCAAAGAAATTCATCAAGAGACCTCCTGAAGCCAGGTTAAAGGGCTACAGGCCCTGCACACACTCTGATCCTTATCAGCAACCTCACTCTTGAACCATTGCTGTAAAACTCACCAAATCTTTCCAGGTTTGGACACAGTTTTGGGAGCATGAGCCCACTGTCTCCCCCTTTGCCTGGCAAAGAAGTAAAACTATTCTTTTCTATTTCGCCCAAAACTGTGTTTCCAAGATTCAATTCGGCACCAGTACACAAAGCCCAAGTTTTCAGCATCAAGGACACCTCTGGACAATAACGGGGCTTAACCACAGATATGCCTGTGATGACCCTGAAAAGGTCAAGCTGAATTGGATACAGCTCTTTTTGCAAGAGAGATTTATATCCTACTTTGGGAGATACTTTACAAACAAAAGAGAAAAAATCCAGGCAGCCACGGAGGTGGAGACTTCCCATGATTCTGGAATGTTCCCTTGTCTGGGGCAGAGCTCAGCCTGAGGACACCACCCAAATGAGGTGTCAAGGTGCTATCATCACGGGCGACTGACCCTGCCCCAGGGCCAAGGCTGTTGCTCCTCACTGGGGTTTGGAACAGAGGCTCTCCACCCTGGAGCTCTCTGCCCAGGAGCTGCACAGGCTTGGCCCAGGGGCAAGGCGGTGTCTGCCCAGCCTGGACCACAGCACTCAGTATGGTAAGCTCATCTCAGAGATGGGACAACTGGGTCCAGCTTACGTTCCTTCAAAGCTGTTGCAGGATGAGCTGTTTCTCTCACGAAGCTCTTAAAAAATAAAATTAATTGGAAAAAAAAAAAGAAGCTTCATTTCCAATGGAAAACAGACCC